CTCTAAGACTTATTTTGGCGTTTTGAATTTTTGGAGTCCACCAGTTAAATTATTATTATAACTTCCTAACATTTTGAAATCCGCAGTAGTATATTGGAGGAAACCTTTAAAATGAGAAAAACCAGCTAAGAAACAACTAATTTTGGCGAAATAACTAAACACAAAATAAAATGTTGAAAGGTCTGGTCCGATATGGCCAGATGGTTAAGGCGCTTGACTCGCAATCTGTGGGTTCGAATCCCCGTCCCACCAAACATGCTCGCCCTTTCAACCGTGGGGGTGTGATATATTATGATGGTCAATCCTACTATTCGTTGGTGAATGAGTAACCCAAGAGTTGGCGGTGGGTGGTGATGACTAGCTGCTTTCCCTCTAGTCTTTCATCCCTAAATTAGGGACGGCTAGCGCAGATAGTCCTCGTGTATCTTCCCTGACACGTTAAATTAATTCCACAACCCCAGTCAACGTAAAAGGAACTTGTGTCAGTAAACAGATTATAATCGTCTCCAACAGCAAAGTTCTTACCCGGTGTTGTTGTGCTTCGTTGGTAGCTTTTCCGATCTGTCCTAACAGTCGCTGCAGTTCGGGTCTCATCTAGAATACGAGAACAACGACTGATATTAGACGTATTTATGTTTAGGTACGACGTGTGTTTTCCTCTTGTTTTTAAAAAAAAACTTATTAAAACAATCTCCGATAATGATCTTAACAAGAAATAACCACACACACACACACACACACACACGAGGAGAAATATCAGACAGTCCTAGACTTTAAATACTAGAACTAAAAATATAAAGTCGATCACACAGGATGAGAATTGAAGTTTACTTATTCTACATAAAACGTAATTTAATGATTACTTTAAATCACTGTACCTTAAGAACAACCCCAGCAAATACAGATCGAACAACATTAAGGATGAAGTCTGAAGCAGAGTCCAATGGTTGGCAGATTTCGGCGATCTGAACACTAGTCTGTCCAGCCTGTTCTAGATTCAATACTATATTACTTTTCACTCCTTCTATATACGTCACAACCGACGTCATACTGGTGACGGAAACGCAAAACTGAAAGACATCATTACACAATATAGGATAATAATAATTTAACTGAACCACAAGAACTGTTCATTCTTTTTACTGCAGGTTTTAGGATCGCTAACTTTTGCCCCAGAAACGCCTTCGGTACTTTGAGGCCGTGGATGCTTTTAAAAAATGACGGTCGAGTAAGGGTTGGCGGTGGGTGCTGTTTACTAGCTGCTTTCCCCCTTATCTAATAATGGTTGGAGACGGCTTGAATGGGTAATGAGGAAAAAAATTAATATAAGTTTAACATAACAGCAAATGTACAACGTTTCGACAAGGTTTTGTCATCATCAGGTACAAGTAATTTACACTGACACAGATATATATATATACAGTATTGAACAAAGAGGTCACATGACCGAACTGTTGTGAAACTTAGAAGAGGTATCTTGGCACCCCGGGGTGTTGGTTTAGAGTACGGTTGTTTTGTTCAATTAAGATGGATTCCTTGATTTTTCGTTTTTTTATGTTGGGTTTTTTGTTTAAAATGACTGTGTTTTTAATAGATATACTATGTTTTTTGGAGTTGCAATGGTGAAAAACATGGGACGGTTTTTTAT